TTAATATGTTGTGTCAATAGAATTATTGTCATGAAACTTGATTGTTTACTACCCAGAGCAGGAAGAAATATTGTTATTTTCTCCATCTTTCCAAAATATTAATTGCTGCTTGGGATCCAATTGCATCATTCAGACAGTTCTACTCTGATTTTTTTTTTTAGGCAATCACAATAATAAATGTTAAGCTTAGCAGATTAGATGACAAGCCAGGTTTTTCATTTAACCAATATGTGTAGAATTCAATTGTAATTACTTTGAATATTTGTGTTATTCCTGTATTTATTTATAACATCTTCTAATGTTTGGTTTGCTTTCATTTCTGGTAGGTTCCTGAGGTATATACTCCAGTTCTGGAACATCTCATGGTGGTGCAGATAGACAGTTTCCCACAATATAGTCCAAAAATGCAGTTGGTGTGTTGTAGAGCCATCGTGAAAGTTTTCCTAGCCTTAGCAGAAAAAGGACCAGTTCTTTGGAATTGCATTAGTACTGTGGGTAAGTTTGCAATTCGTTCTTGTTTTTAGAATGATAAATTATGAATACTTAACATGTTCTTTGAAATAGGTAAAGAAAATCTGGTTGCCAAATTTTTTTGTATCTTTGATGCCTCTTGGAGAACTCCTAAAATTTTGGTAGATCAAAATCCTCTCTTTTTTTCATTCTTTTGCTTCTGAATCTTAATAGTTCAAAATTGAAAACTAAAGATATTAATGAACTTAGAAAAGAAGTTGAGAGGTAAAGTTATGTTCTAAAAAATTATGACTTGTTTATATTGAGTGTTTTGTTGTATTTTTCAGTGTTTCCTTCCATTTTTTTCATTTCCTTTTTTCAGTGCATCAGGGTTTAATCAGAATATGTTCTAAACCAGTGATCCTTCAAAAGGTAAATTCTGAATCTAATGTTTTGAAAATTGGTCTTTTGTCACTGAAAGTTAGAAATACTGCTGAGGTTTCAGTATGTAAATACACAAAAGTAGCATTTCTTAGTTATTAACCATTCCTTACACTTTGAAAAGTGTAGGACATAATTCTGCTATATTTTGTTAGATGAATGCACTTCTCCTAAGGTTTGAAACATTAAACATTATTTTACTGCTATATACATTTTTACAAAAAGGAAATGTTTTCTCTCTGGAAACTCTAGGGCAATATACCAAGGTGTATTTTGGGAGGTATATCGTAGTTATTAGAAGTTTCAGAAGGAGGAGGTGACAGATCAAAGGGTGTAAGAAAGTTCAGTAGACTACTTACAGTGCGTTCAGGGGGTGGTGGTAGTTCCTCACAAGTTTAGTCACAGAAAAATCATATAATGTCTTCCTCAGCCTAATTATGTAGACTCCTACTGGTAGCTGTTTTGGCTTAGAGAATTCTGAAAATCAGCAGGTTCTGGCAGCAGTGCTGCTTTTGTGAATCTGTCAGTGAGCACTGCATGTTGTCTTCCTGGCCAGGACGCTGGGTCTGAGTCTGAAGATCATCGTGCCTTGGGAGAAGTTAGAACTGGCAAGTGGAAAGTGCCTATGTGCAAAGACTATGTGGCTCTTTTTAGGAATCTCCTGAGCTGTGACCAGATGATGGTAAAATTTGCACTTTGAAAGTACCATAAAAGTACCCTCTTACCTCTCTTTATTAGTCTCCATAGTTTTAGAATTAAGACTTATTTATTTCAGAATTGTATTTGATTACCTTTCAAAAGTTTTTTTGAAAATGAAATTGAAGTAATAAAAAATTAAAACAGTATAAGTCAGGACAGTTAAAGTGAGACTAGAAAAAAAAATGAAAGGAGCACAGACATAGAATTCTTGACATTAATTACAGTAGCTGAGTCCTCGTTGTAGCTTCAAGTACCTGGATAGTATAGTTGATGCTAAGTTGTTCTTTCTAACAGGTGCATCTTCTTAGGTAACAAAGAATGTAACAATATTACCACCATGGAAGAGCTGTTTTCTTTTTTATTTGTTAAAGATGAAGATAAATTCAATTGATTTAATAGGTATGAAGGGGATTGGTGCACAGCTATTATTTACTATTTTTTCTATTATTTTTTCTAGTCTCACTTAGAATAACACCTCCTGTCTAATATCTTTCTAGCAGATATCTGCTAGATATTTTAGTGTCAACTTTAAGCCAGGGTAGTGGCTAGTATTTTAATATGTACTTTGACAAAGCATTAATAGTCCAGGACAAGCAATTTTTGTGAAAAGGTGATTGCTATCCTGTGTAAAATCTTAGGTGTTTTTAGTTTTTTTCTTACTGAAATAAAATAGTGTAGCAGTTGTTAGTAATTTTATCCCCAATTATTTCTTTTTTGTATGTGATGTTATATATCTCTATATTTCAAGGTTAGGTCCTATATAATATTTGACAGAGTATAGGCAGAGTAATTGGCCTATAATTTTGGAATGGTAGAATAGCTTCATTTTAAAAGAAATGATAGATTATACTTTTAAATCCATTCTGAGGATGAATATATATTCATCTACATGTGTGTATGTGTGCACATGTGTTTACATATGCACACATGTAAATGAACATGTATGTGTATGTACACAAACATATTAAAACACATAGTGTGTATGTGTATATATTATGTATATGTGTGTTTATATGTACCCTCAAATTAATTGGGGTAAGTGCTTTGACAAGGATTGGCCTAAATCTTATTACTGTGTGCAGAATAAGTATTTATTCCATGACTGGATAAGTTGTATTATCTGACTGAAATGATGCTGTCATAATAATTTGAGAAGTTGTCTAAATTTTGTAGCTTGAAAACTTCCAGGTACACCTACAGTTTATATGTCATTGTTTCCATAGTAACTAAATATACATGTGAATCTGCATTTGATGCTTATAAAATACTCATGCTAATACTTTTTTGTACAAGATTTTGAAGTTCATTATTTTTCTTTGTTTAAAGGATTCTATTTTAGCAGATGAAGCATTTCTCTTTGTGAATTCCTCCCTTCAAAGTCTGAATCGCTTACTATATGATGAATTTGTAAAATCTGTTTTGAAGATTGTTGAGAAATTGGATCTTACACTGGAAAAACTGACTGTTGGGGAACAAGAGGTTAGAAGTTTTTGTCAGTAATAATTTTGCATCATTTTTACACCAACTCTCTTTGTATATAAATATTCAGGGGATAATAGCATATTTGTAGGGGATTGAAGAAAATTGGTTTCTTCAAGATTATTATGTGCTATTGATACTTTTCTATTGAATATAGCATAATGTGTAAAAAATTTTATCACTAGATTGTTTGAAAAGTAATTTACATGTTTAATATGTTAAAACAAATTTTTTTGGAAAAAGATGTTTATAATACTTGTTTGTTTCTCATTCCTTAAAAACAGTAAAGAATCAAGTAAATGTTATTTTATGTGGAAGTAACTTTACACACTAGGCTAGAGAAGCCTGGGTTTCTTGCTTATAGTTAAGGAAACCCCAAACTGGGGTACAATGTGTTAAATGTGTTCTCGAGATAGTAGAATGTAGAAAGTAGAGAAAGAAGAAAGTGTCCTCCCTTTTGTCTGTACCCAGTTTTCCTAGCCTGGGTAAAAGATAAGTCATGGCTTAAAACTGGCAGCTGGGAGTTGCCCTGCTCTTGTCTGAGGAGTTAATAGGAACACGGCACCATGTAATGAGGCCAGCCTGAAGGGTGTGACTTCCAGTGGAAGACATGTAGTTTGATCTCAAGTGCAGTGATTTTTTTCAGACTAGACTGTTCTTGTTAGAGTTTGTGCATGTGTGCGTCCACTGTAGTCCCATGAGGTTAGATGAGATAATGTGGAGGACGTACGGAGGGTAAATAAAGGAAACAGTGTGAGGCCGTGGGCACACTTGCTTGATTGCACTCATGATGTTATATTTTTTTATGCTGGGTGATAAGCGTACCATTGTGTGTTTTACTGCTTTCTAAGGTTTACATATGCCTAAAATAATTTCATTTAAAAAACAAAACAAAACAAAAAAAACTTGCCAAAAGGGACTTCCAGGAACTGTGTCAGCCTACAAATCTGCATTTTAAAACATGTCTTCACTGTTGTGGATGTCTTTGGTGGTGTCCCTGGCTCCTGCTGCCTTCTTGTAGGTCCAAGAACACAGGTCTGGTCTCCCGCATCATTATCCTTCATTGGCTTCGGCTCCCTATTTCTAACTACTAGTTTAACATTTGAATTTGATAACACAGGTTGTATTTGATAACACACATTTGGTAACACAATGTTTAAAACTGAACTGTGTGCACTTCTCAAAAAATCATATTTTTCATTTGTCTTTCTTATTATTGTTACTTATTGCTCTATTTCTCTATTCATAAGTTTGAGACTTCTGTCAAGGCATTATTGCTAGCTCCTTCAGGAAGTGGTAACTGCTGGGTATTTCTGTATTTGTCCCATTCTTTCATCGCTTTATCACTTCCTGTGAGTCCTGTTTAATGTTTTCAGTGAGTCCCATCCTTATCAAACTGTGAGCTCTGGAGGACCCATCTCTACCTTTCTCACTTTTGCATTCTTACCTCGTAGCATTAGGTCTTGACTGTGAAGTCAATTGGACAGTTATTTGTTGAATGATGTGTGTTTGAATGGTACAGTGATTGTTGGTACAATTAATTTTTAAGGATGGAGATGAGGCTACTGGTGTTTGGGTGATCCCGACTTCAGATCCAACGGCTAACTTGCATCCTGCTAAACCTAAAGATTTTTCAGCTTTCATTAACCTGGTGGAATTTTGCAGGTATTTTGTAGAATTTTAATTACTTAAGAGTGAAAATGTATCACTTATTGGCTATAATATAGGAAATACCCTTATATACGTGTAAGAAATGAAATAGTAAAAGACTTAAAATTTAAAATCACTTATATAGACCTTTAAGATAAGTCTAAATGTACTATCTTAGAGTTATTACTTTTTTTTGTATTTAAAAGATCCTCAGCTAAGAAAAAAGGAATATACCTAAAAGATATACCTAAAAATGTTATAATACCTAAAAATGTTATGTAATGAAATTATAGTCTGTAATTGTTTAAGTATGTCCATTATAATTTTAAAGCTGAATAATAGTATGATAAAAATTTCTACCTTAAGCTTTTAATTTGTTTTTACAGAGAGATTCTCCCTGAGAAACAAGTGGGATTTTTTGAACCGTGGGTGTACTCATTTGCCTACAGATTAATTTTGCGGTCTACACGGCTGCCACTCATCAGTGGCTTCTACAAGTTGCTTTCTATTGCAGTGAAAAATGCCAAGAAAATAAAATATTTTGAGGTAAGTTGTTTTTGGAGGACATTGAATATAGTTGAACCTTGGACAACCAGGGGTTAGGGATGCCCCCTCCCAATGCAGTTGAAAATCTGTGCATAACTTTTGTTGTTGTTGTTCAATTCCTTTGTAAAAACACTGGTCATCATTTAACATACAGTGACAACAAAATGCACCCAATTCACCTGCATCAACAGGTCAATAAATCATAATACACGGACAAATTCCAAACCAACCATACTAAAGTAGCTCATGTTGCATCTGACCGTAGTTGTAGTGCTCCTAATAGAGAAATAGCTAATATGAGAAACAAGGAGTTCCAGGTTCAATCTGAAATAAGGTTCTTTGTGGCAAATAACATGGAGCAATGATCATGTGGAGTCAAGGGACTCATTCTTCAGAAACCACTTTGTGCAAAGCACTGTTTAATATAGAATAAGATCTTGAAAAAACATATACCTTTAGTTAAGGACAAAAGGGCTCCATTTTTGAAAATTAATTACCTGAATGATTCAGATTTTTATTGTGCCCATAAATTACGATATCTTTCAATGAGTAAGTTATACATTCCATGTTTTGACACCTTATTTTCAATTAAACTGACAAATTCCATAAGACTGCATTATTTTCAAGAGCAAAAAAAGGAAACCAATAATCAAAAGCCCAATTTAAACTCACAGGCAAGGTTTCTGAATATGGGATTTAATTAATAAGAAAAGCACCACAACAAAATACGTTTTTAGAAAACAGAAAAGACTGCCATCAATATACAAGTTAGGGACTCGGATATTCAGTTTTCCCAGCACTATTTATTGAAGAGTCTTTTCTCCAGTGTATGTTCTTCGCACTTTTGTCAAAGGTCAGATGGCTGTAAGCACCGATAACTTCGTATAATGTATGCTATACGAAGTTATTACGTAGTAAATTTTAACTTAGGTCTCTCTCCATGATATGTTTAATTACTGTGTTACAAGTGAAAGTAATTTTTAGCATGTGGAAGAGACCACATGCTGAAAACTTTAAGGATTCAGAAAATTAAAATTTGTTGTTTGTACCTGGTTATACTTAAGTCAGATGTAAGTCAGATATAAGACAAATTAGTAGCTTCAAACTAGAATATGCTTTAAACACCACAAAAGAAGGAAAAAAAACAAAAAAGGGAGAGTTTCTGCTCATGTAACTTTTCACTAGACTATATAGCAGAAAAGCAAAATATAAAATATTAAGTTTTCGCTTAAAAAAAATCCAGAAACAAAATTCACTAAACAAGATTTAGTAAGATTAGGATTATGAATGTGGAGTATTCAGACTCATTCCATTCAGATGAAGAGATAACATTTTGGGGGAAAAAAATCCTCAAACAATATAATTTGTTTCTCATTAACCTTTCAAACATCACTTTAACTTCATTGCTTATACCATAAACCTTCTTCAGAGTTTCCATTTTCTACTGTTAAAATAATTTTTTTAGCCCCTTAATTTCCAAGTGTCATGTCAAATCCCTTGGTTCACTCTAATTCCACAATCCCCATTTATTTATTTATTTATTTATTTAATTTATTTTTATTTATTTATTTTATTATTATTATTTTTTTTAAAGATGACCTGTAAGGGTATCTTAACCCTTGACTTGGTGTTGTCAGCACCACACTCACTCAGTGAGCGAACCAGCCATCCCTATATGGGATCTGAACCTGTGGCCTTGGTGTTATCAGCACCACACTCTCCCGAGTGAGCCACAGGCCGGCCTCCACAATCCCCATTTAAAAGAGTATAAACTAATCATTTTACCCCCCCTCAGGAGTCAGAACCCATCATGGAATTATTCAGAATTGAGAAGTTAGAGGTAAAAATTCAACTAGAAACGAGAATACTTGTTAGTATATATGGTTTTATGTAGTAGGGAGACCACGTAATTGCTCTTTCTGGTTAACTTATGACTCTTAATACAGTAAGGTCAGGAAATTAAAATGAGTAATATATACTTAAAATACTTAAAATCAGTGATGGTGCTACAAGCCACCCAGACAGTAAGGTCAGAAAATTAAAATGAGTAATATATACTTAAAATACTTGGAATCGGTGATTGTGCTACAAACCACCCAGGTGATCCTGGTGCTTAGTGAAGGTTGAGAATGACTGGATTAATGTCCCTGGGGCTCCAGTCAGTTGCATAAGGAGCCCGCCTGGGTAATTACAGGGGGAGCCTGTCTTGGTGAGGTGCACAGGTGTATCTTGCTGGAAGACGGAGGGTAGGGGAATGGATTCCGCCCCATCTACCTTTGCTCCTCATGTTGTTTCTGACTGGCCTCTGCCTTGAAAAGTCCTCAGAGCTGATACTCGCTTTCCTTCTGCCCCAGGCACTGGTGAAGTGAAATGAATCCACCCCAATGAGGAATGCTTGGGAACTGCCAGATTAGGATACAGAATCGCCTGATTCTTGTTCCTTGTGTACTAATTTGCTACTTTATTTGACAGGGAGTTAGTCCAAAGAGTCTGAAACACTCTCCTGAGGACCCAGAAAAGTATTCTTGCTTTGCATTATTTGCAAAATTTGGTAAAGAGGTAACTTTTAAATGATTTGTCTTACTATTTTCATGGGTTATTTTTAAATGAATGTATATTGAAAAAATCCTAGTGATCATAAATAATTATTAAAAAATTGGTTTGCTAAATCCAGATTGGGAGTAAGGTCTTAAAAAAACTAATAGAAGAAATTGTGTTTCAAAATCCCTTGAGTTTTCTTAGAGTAATTCTCTTCTGATGACAAGTCATAATTAAATATTCTTTAGTTTTTCCATATAGTGGGAATTAAATACTTTAACAGATTAACTTTTCCTGGAGATCAGCGGTTAATTTGTAAAATGAATGTAGTCACATCAAATAAAGACTACATACTTACCTTTTTTTGATTTAAGAATAGGGTAAGTATTTTTTAATTGATTTTCAAATTGTAGGTTCTGTTGAGTCACACAGCACTGTCTTCTTTCTTGTTAAGGTATCAGTTAAAATGAAGCAATACAAAGATGAACTTTTGGCCTCCTGTTTGAACTTTGTTCTGTCCCTGCCACATGACATCATTGAACTTGATGTCAGAGCCTACGTTCCTGCCTTGCAGGTAGATGCATCTTCTCGAGCAAATCTCTCTTCATCAGTGTTGTGTTTCCTAGAGAACATGGAAATACCAAGTTCTTGCCCTGTAGTAGCAGCAGGTGCCTACCCAGCAGGCATACCTGGTCAGGTTCTGCTTCTGCCACTTATTAGCTTTGGGACTGGGTACACTTGGCTTGGCCTCTCTGAGCTTCCCCTGCAGGTTGATGTGAGAATTTTATTTATTTATTTATTTATCTATTTATTTTTAAATTTTATTTTGTCGATATACAATGCGGTTGATTATTGTGGCCCATTACCAAAATCTCCCTCCCACCTCCCTCTCCCCCCTCCCACCCAACAATGTCCTGTCTGTTTGCTTGTCGTGTCAACTTCAAGGAATTGTAATTGTTGTGTCTTCTGCCCCCGGTTTTGTGTGTGTGTGTGTGTGTGTGTGTGTGTGTGTGTGTGTGTGTGTGTGTGTGT